AAGATATTATGCTGACCTACTGGGACAGTTGCGTGAAGCTATCAAAGCTAAGCGACGGGGAATGCTCACTTAAGGAGTCCTGTTCCACCAAGACAATGCTCCTGTTCACAAATCGGTGGTTGCCATGACAGCGATCCATGATTGTGTGTCTTCAAACTCATTGACCATCCCCCTTATTCACCCGATTTGGCCCCGTCAGACTTCTACCTGTTTCCCAAAATGAAAAAGGAACTTGTCGGTCACCATTTTCCTAGTAATGATGACGTCATTTCCGCTGTGAATGACTTTTTTAGGGTGGCTGAAAATTTCTTCTTGACCGGCATCCAGGCCTTGCAGCATCGCTGGCAAAAGTGTGTAAACATGGAAGGGGACTATGTGGAGAAATAAATGAAAACAATCGACTTGGTACGGGTCTTTCACAGTTAGGCTTAAAACCTATCTCAGTATCTGCATGGTGTGACCTGTCAATTTCAAGATTTCATGGCTTCCAAAGCCAGTGTGTGAATGGACTGAGACATTCGGGGCTCAGGCATTGTGGGTTGGGTATGTTTTTCTTAATTGTGCGTGTTCTGAAATGAATTTCATCAAGTTTGACTTCAATGATGAAGGGACATTGTTTTCGTGGATTTTCGAACTTAAGTGTTTTTTGAGTGAATGAATTTCAAATCCTCTTATGCCAAATCCTTACGATGGTAGTTGACGGAGATAGCGACGAATATTGATCACAAAAAGGTTTGTCAACAACAGGTTGTGATGAATAAAGTTTTTTCAAACATTTTTTTATAATATTATATATCACTTTAATTGTCGGTTGTTTCAATGTGGAAATAGCTTAAATTGTTCCGATTCTGGTCAACATAGAACATTTCCCTAATGGTTTCATAAACATTTCATCTGTATGCAAAAGATATGCCTTAGTTAAATCTTTTAATGTCATCATCGAAGCAGTCAGGGTTGCGGCCTAGCCAACGCCCAAAACATCCGATATCAAAATACCGTAATCTTCTAAATCTTCAATCTAGCCACTACACAGTTTCACCTGGTCTATGAATAGAGGCAATTGGTTTCATGTTTTATATTACTGAGCATATTTTTGCTTCACATTCAGCATGTTTTTCAACAATATCTTATACACGCTGCCTTTAACACTTGTAAATAAAGCTGTAAAAACAACGGGTATTGATTTCAGCTTCACCGGTTATTTGTCACATATTAGTTCACATGTGCAACAGATAGGGCACATCTCAAGTTGAGAAAGTGTAAAGGAACAATGTAATTGCAGTGTTGATTCAAATGAAACATATATAAATAATATTATAGGTGTTACACTAAATGTGAAACAGCTAACTTGAGATGATCCCACTTATGCTTTCTTCTGTCTCTCTACTGACGAATGTTAATTTTTCTTTACCGTGTTAGCTGGCTTGGCAATCTGGATCAAGGCATTGGCTAATTGCAACTTTATTGCAGAACATATATGGTATGAACAAGGAAACCAGACAAAAATGGTGCTTATGTTTGAAAATAGGTCTTGGAACAGTTATTACGGACAAAATGTGAAGTTATATTGTCCAACAACATCAGTGCCGGGCTGGCTATCAAATGCCGTTGACGTCGCCAGTGGACCCTGAAAGTGAAACAGCTGGAAAAAATGTGAAATCTTCTAACCAGTGTATAAGCCGACACCCCCTTCATAACCCCTCATTCTTTGTACGAAAAAGTAACCCATCTATCCTGATTATAATAATGCCCCATGGACAATTTCATGCTGTTGTCAGTACAGGCCCAGTTCAGCCTCCTGAACATAAGGTATGAAGATTCTAGGTACAAACTTGTTGAGCTCCAAAACAAGTCTGACAAGCTCAAGGCCATGGCAGTGTTTGCTCGTCCAGATGGTATACCTGTTGAACACTTTAATCCTTTGTTCGTTGTGAAAAACAACAACCCAAAAACAACAGCTTTACTGTGGATTCAACCCTGAGACTGAAAGCGTCCTGGAAGTACATCATTGACACAGATCTGACACTTCCCTTCAACCAGGTGCCCCTATAGAAGGACTAAAATAATGTGGCTTGGTAACCCTCTTTAAGGCAGTTTACACCAGATCTGACACTTCCCTTCAACCAGGTGCCCCTATAGAAGGACTAAAATAATGTGGCTTGGTAACCCTCTTTAAGGCAGTTTACAGCGGATCTGACACTTCCCTTCAACCAGGTGCCCCTATAGAAGGACTAAAATAATGTGGCTTGGTAACCCTCTTTAAGGCAGTTTACACCAGATCTGACACTTCCCTTCAACCAGGTGCCCCTATAGAAGGACTAAAATAATGTGGCTTGGTAAACCTCTTTAAGGCAGTTTACACCAGATCTGAGACTTCCTTCAACCAGGTGCCCCTATAGAAGGACTAAAATAATGTGGCTTGGTAACCCTCTTTAAGGCAGTTTACACCAGATCTGACACTTCCCTTCAACCAGGTGCCCCTATAGAAGGACTAAAATAATGTGGCTTGGTAACCCTATTTAAGGCAGTTTACACCAGATCTGACACTTCCTTCAACCAGGTGCCCCTATAGAAGGACTAAAATAATGTGGCTTGGTAACCCTCTTTAAGGCAGTTTACACCAGATTTGACATAGGAATGTCAGGTTCAGAAACAGCACTTGAGGACCTCATGTTTCATGTTGTGGGTGATCTCCAGAAGGATGGGATCATTGCTAACCTTGCAGATGATCACTAATGTGGGGCCAATTCTATTCCAGAGCTTTTGACGAATTGAGAACTTGCCATTGATGCACAGTACATCAACAACCTTAAAACACATTCATTGGTCAAAAGCCATGGAATAGGCACTGCCTCAGACAAGTCTAAGCTATCTGGCTTCTTCAGTTTAAAGCTTCATGGCAGACAAGTTACGTGGTTACCTTATGAAATTAAGGCTTTTTCAATCACTGTGGCCACTAAGCACGTCTCACCCTACATCCTTCAGTCCGAACAAAAGTGTTGTTTCCTCAGTGACAGCAAGCCTTCTGTCCAGGCCTTTCTAGTTCTTGTGGAAAGAGAATGCATCATATCCTTCACTGCAACATACATGATAACAAGATGAAAGCCATTAGGCGCTGCGTAATGCGCTCATCAAGATGGTAATCCAACTCAGAAATCAGGTTACTCATCACAGATTCCTCATCTAAAATATGGATGTAATCCGGCAACAACATGATCATTGTCAAAAGACACACTCCCTTACCCAGAGAGATCCAAGCAAGAGAATATGTCAAGTGGATCACTGCACCCAGCCCACCCAAGTTACTTGTGGTCCCTTAATCAGAGCTTTCCATAGCTCCTCAGGTCTTGCTGGCACCCTCACTGAGGGATAGTGCATTTAACAGTGACACTCATTCATAGAAACCCCATCGCAGACTGAGAACGGCCCTCCTTTCTGTGACTCAGCACTCTTCACAATTGAATGACACAACTTGCAACCCCAACTAGAAGGCCTACATGCTCAAACGTCCATCAGCTAAGCTCTAGGTCTGTTGCCTAAACTTTTGACTTTTCACTGGGGTCATATTTGGAACACTGCCATTGCATTTACCTCTGTATTTTGTTCTTTGCCTTTTTAGGCGGTGTTCATGAACAGAGTCACCCATAATATATTTATTTCTATTTTCACCCATTGTGAGAGCCACATCATTCATTTATCTATCTACAAGATAGGTAATTGCCATTACACCTTCACATTTTTAGATTCAGGAATACCTACTTAGGAGTGGTCTGGTCCTGCACCATCCTTGTATTTTTCGATAACTGAAGTATTTGGGTTGTTGTGGCTACTGACACAAGCGGCAAGATTCTTAATTTTAGTTGCTGGTGGTGTTTTGTCATCATTCAGTTTTAACACGTTTGTTGTCATCCAGTCCTTGATATCTGAACAACAGATTGCTGTCTATTCAAGAGCTCACCTTGATTGGCATTGGCATGTTGATGTTTATTTACACAATGATAACGATTCTAATAACTTCTGTCCTGGACGCGTATCAAAATCACAGGATATTTACATGTGTATCACTGTATAGACATTCAGTACAAGGCGAAGGCGTTCTAGGTACCATATTCACAGTATTTTCATTGTAGTATACATAGCAAAGGGAGCTACTAAAACAAGGAGATGGGAGAAAGCTTTTTTCACAATACAGTAATGATTGTAGGAGCAAAGATAAAGCATAGGTCAATGTCATGGTTATTCCCACATTATTTACAAGAAAATCACACAGACAATGTTGAATATATTTTTTTTAATGATTTCCTTAATGGAAAATATAGTTAAGGCTGTAAATCCCCTGTTATTTCTGACATCAAATTTAGATGTTATGCCTAGTTTCAATAAAAATGTTTCTTTACTTTTTTTATTTTCAAAGCACCTGGGGTGCTTAACTTGTGAGAACTATTCTGAAATGAATTGTCACATTTAATGTATCTGGGCCTCGATGTTAATGCACCTATATGGAACCTTGAAAAAGCCTAATCGCTGTATGAATGTAATGGAATGCCTGTTATAGGCCTAGAATGTTACTTTGCAGATTTCACAGACCTTACTTTCAAAACATATACATCATTCCCTTTTGAATTTTAGATTGATATACCAGGCATTATACATGCATAATACACCTACCACATGAGTGATAATGAGGTGTAATTTATTGATAGAATATTCCACACATGGCTTGAAGAGGATACGCACAATAAATTTGTTTCATGTGTGCATGATATAAATATATAAATACATATCATTTGGAAGCTCCTAATATACTTCTGAAAAACAGAAACATCACACTGTAAATATGTAGGCTATATTACTGTACTGCTGGTACGTACGTACTCTCTAAAAAGCTCGGAACTTAAAACATTAATTTCACGAGTGACATATTTTCCGTTTTTACTCGTACCGAGTGGGTTATTCTATTTATTACCCATATTCATATTAAAGACATGTTTCAGGAAAAAAACAATCAACTGTCGCCGATCAAGAATCAGCTGTTTTGTATCAATCCGCATGTGAAAAAACACTGTCCACTCACTCCAATGGCATTACTCAATCAACGTCTTGCTATGCGTAAAAATATAGTTCTGTTAACAAAACTTGAAAGATCACATTATTGCAGTTATATTTCTGTCTGATTTACACAGCGTACACTATCTAGCATTGATAAAAGAAGACAATTTTCAAAAAAGGTTCAACAGGCTTTTTAATCAAGGCTTGTTTTGACAAGACCTCTCATTGACAAGACAATAGCCGTCGTGCATCACCATGGACATGAATTTCACAATGAGAAGAGGAAACACGAAAAACCTGTCAATTTTTTCATGTGTCATTCGGTAAAAATGCAAAAACCTGTATCAACAACATAGAAGGAATGTACAGAAGTCATGTTTGATTGAGAAAAGTTACGACAAGTAGGTAAACTTTGAAAAATACGATTGCTGTCAGTGTCGGAAAGAATGACCCGACTTGACCCAGATATGAGACAGCCGAAACCAGGAATGACAAGAGAACCGGCGTTACAGTTTAATCCGGACAACAAGTTTAATGAACATCGTTTGTGATTTGAGACAAATGTGACTGATGGGAAACATGTGCATGTGGGATTTTAGGAGGACTTGTCAAACGCGTTTGTGGATCGGACACAGTCAGATGACGGGAGTTTGTTGATATTTTGATGTGATTCATAATGGTCGAATACCTGTTGATAGACTAACACGGTATCTGGAGACTTGGTGACAAGCTGTCCGCATTCACGGAGTTCATTTAGTTTAATGTCGGACACAGGATCACCTCGCTGGGGTAAGTTTTCTTTTCCTTGAATTTTTAATTATTTTTGTTTTGATTTCAAAACCTATTTGAGTTCAGCAAAGTGCATCGATTTTGCAACCAGATGTTGGTAATCTTGTCGCTAAGGTAGCACTCGGTGCTACCCTTGATCTCCTTCAAAGTAGGCATTTCGAATTCTGAACCGTCTGATGTGCATGCCGAAACGATAAATTTGCAAAGAGTAATGTTTAGTTGCACCTTTCCTGTGTCATTAACCCTCATAGTCTTATGGTGCCCGGACGTCAGTCAGCCTGCATACCGCTCAGCGCCGTACTGTGCTGACGTCGAGGTTACAAAAACGTATAGATCTAGTTTACATTGTATAAAAGAGTGTCACGCTCTTATTTCTTCAAACAATGTTACAAACTTAAATTCTACGAAATGGCGTATGTTTATAAAGTCTTTCGGAAAGTCTAACTGTTGTTGCAAAAGGAATTTGTTTTTATTCTTATGCCATCATTGAAAGTGTGAGTAGTCTTATTTTTCGTGTTTTTCTTACCAGTATAAATTTGTCATGTCAACTTGTCAAATTTAGTCTTTTTCATTGTGTTTTCCTTTTCATTGGCAGTTATCGATGTCATCATCGTTCACAAAGGCAAACCTGTCTATACAAAGTCCGGTTTTGGGGATTCGTGTGGTCGAAAGATTTGCCAAACAGCAAGTCCTCTAACACAGACGCAAAGCTGAATCTTGGAACTTCAATCTGGCCGGCCATATGCAGTTTTGATAACAAAGACATTAAATGTGTTCAGAGGTTGAATTGTGCGAATAACTCTTCCTGTCAGATCTCCGTCTACTTTAACGAGGTCATTTAGTTTGACAGGTGTCAAATGGTAGGCCATGTTTGTTTACAAACAATGCAGACGTAGTTTTGTTTTTTGTAATTACGCTTATTGTAAACTAAAACTTGTGCGAAATAAATGCTTTATTCATTATACTGTGAAATCATGTGGTTGATATGAAACTATGTTCTAGTCTTATAAATCTCGATTAAGTGAGATTGTAGCACGTAAAACATGTGAATGAATGCCCTGGATTTGTGATTGAACTCAATGAGAGAAAAATAGTCGCGTCGGCCAATGAAAATTGACATTTGTTTAACTGACCAATCAGCTTCGAGAATCACTAAATGCACACTGTGCAAATATCAAAAAGTTATTACACTGCATATTTGAGCCCATATGGGTAATAAATACACTTTCAGGGAGGGGCAAAAGAAATGTCAGGGTCTTTATCCAAACAGTAGTAAAGATATGGGGGTGCTAGCTCTCCTCTCCTGGACCAAGCCTAGCCCCTAAATATACTTCTATGGGGGTCTTATGTTTATTTGAAGTATGTGATGATGATCCATGGATCGTTATGTATCAAGATGCCATCCTATATCGAGGAAACCTTTAAGGCAAATTGTAATGGAAATATTCTCTTTTATTTCTACTCACACAGTTACTATTATTTCAGACATAGTTATATTCAACATTTTACACAGTTCTTCATTCATTTTACTAGGAAACCAATTGTATACTCTTCTTCACAACTGGAAAGAAACAATTGATAACCATATTTGGATGTCTTGACGTCGATGATTTGATATACACCTTGTGGTAATTGGATAATTTTGTCCCGGAGCATACCGGTAAATGCTTCGATAGCTTTTTTAAGTTCTTTTTTTGTTGGCTTGTAATTGTTTATTGTTGTACACTTATGTGAACATTTATCAAAATGGAACATGAATATTAATTATTATACGAATAAAGAACTAAATGTTACTACTAAAGGTCAAAATACAATATTAATAGTCAAATGTTACGAAAAGACGTCATAAGAAAAGAAAGAACGATGTGTACGAAAGGACGTTTTCAATAAAGAAAGTCAGTGAGCACGAAAGGACGTTGACAATAAAGAACGCCAGATGGCGCTGCAATTTGTAAAACATTCCGAGTTTAATCGGCTTGTTCCGCCGTGTATATGATAACTGCATGCTGAGGTGCACAATGTATTACGTCATTCCTCGTGCACTCACCGTCTGACATCACACATATATATACAGAAATTTCAATGAATATATATATGCAGTTATTTATATATTGTGTAATTTATAGCATCAGCTTTCTACAAATAATTTCTATTTACACAGGCTTATCCTCAACATTATGTACTATGGATTTCACGATTTATGTAGGGTTATGCATTTTTGAAAATTTACCTGAACTAGGTTTTAGAATTGTAATTTGGGGAAGAAATGACAGCCAAAGCTATGACAGAAGTGAATGTGCATCATTGGATTTGTCTTTTCGTGACATTAGTCACATGACACCACCGGCGTGTATCTTCTAAAGTTGTATTTAAGCAAGGGGATTATATGGTTGGTTTCTTAATATTTCTTCACAAGAGTCAGTTTTGTTCATCATTTTTGGATTAATATTTCTCTCGCACAACGTTCACTTTTCAGATGAAAATGTGCGTCTGAAACAAAACTCGGCATCATAGCACCCTCGTGTTGCACCAAGCATGAACAGGTATTGGATCACTGTAGATGAATCCTAGTTTTAGCGTTAAGTGAGTGTTTTTTGAAGGTTGTATACAAAATACATGTACTAATGTTAGGCAGATGTTGGATTACACAGTGTACTGTATTTTTGAAAAGGCCCTTAAGCGGTGACAAAGCTTTACGCAACATGTTTATACACAATGTGTACATTATACATTATAAATACATGTACATATACGAGTGTGTGTGTGTTATGAAAGAGTGCACAAGGAATGACGTAATACATTGTGCACCTCAGCATGCAGTTATCATATACACGGCGGAACAAGCCGATTAAACTCGGAATGTTTTACAAATTGCAGCGCCATCTGGCGTTCTTTATTGTCAACGTCCTTTCGTGCACAGACGTTCTTTATTGAAAATGTCCTTTCGTGCTCACGGACGTTCTTTTTTGAAAACGTCCTTTCGTGCTCACTGACGTTCTTTATTGAAAACGTTTTCGTACACATTGTTCTTTCTTTTCTTATGACATCTTTTCTTAACATTTGACTATTAATATTGTATTTTGACCTTTAGTAGTAACATTTAGTTCTTTATTCGTAATATTTGACCTTAATTGCATATTTTTGTTCTTTTTTTAAACTTTGTATTTTATGACCGAATGGCCGCCCATACTATAGCCCACGATGAAATTGGAAAGGTATAGGGGCAATACAGAAACTAGCTGCAGTGGCTAAGGTATCTAAAGATTTGGTCAAGGATTGTTTAAAGAAACAACCAATATGGCAAATGTACTTACCAGCCAGCCCCGTGTTATATCCCGAGAAAAAGTTTCATATTTTTACAACTAATGAAGTTCATCAGGCTGACCTCTTGTTTCTTCCTCTTGATAAGGTAAGACACAAAACATATTAATATGCTTTAACCGTAGTAGCTGTAGCTATAGTCGGTACAAAGAGTCTGAGCCATTAACCCAGAAAGATTCAACGGAAGTAGCTAATGCACTGAGCTGCATATATAAACGCAGACCTTTAAAATGGCCTAAGTTGTTTCAAGTAGATCCTGGTCGCAAGTTTATTGGATCAGTAACTAAATTATTAACAAAGCACTATGTTGCAATTAGGCATGGCAGAAAAGAGGCCAAACGTCGCCAAGCTATTGTTGAAAGATTTAACCGGACATTAGCAGAACGTTTGTTTGGATACCAGTATGGGATTGAATGAAATCAGGACGATTAAGATCAACAGAATGAGTGTATCAGCTGTTGTGTCAGCGCTTAGTAATGAAGTCACAAGATTGATTGGGAAGAAACCATCCGATGCGATTAAAATGAAATCTGTGACTTCCGAATCTTCAGCACTGCAGAGAGGCAAAGAACAAAAACTTCTGGATAGAGTAAGTGTAAGATATTTATACCAGCCCGGTGAACTTGAATTAGCTAAGCCATCGTCGTGCAACTGACACAGTATGGTCTTGTAACATATATAACATTAGTCGATTGGTTATGAAAGAAGGCAAGCCTTTTCTATATTACCTTAAAGATGTGCCTGGCAGGGCATTTGTACGGGAAGAGTTGCTCATAGTTCCTAGCGATACAGTATTATCTCCCTAAGTAACCATAAGTGTAGGTAGTTACACCATCCTTATCAATCCATCTCTTTGCATCTGAGAGGGATAATGATGTCTTGTTCATTCTTAATCCTTATATCCTGTGCTTCACTTCTTAAAGTATTCATCTCGTGTTTGAATGTTTTTCCATTGAATAATGCTTCTTTATACTGTTCATGTTTGATATGCTTTTTTACCACATACTTCTTTACGCCTTTAGCTTTTCTTATCTCCTCATTATCAGACTTCTTTATAGAATACATCTTAGGTCATAATCCAACACACTCCGCAATAGGAGTTCATCCTTCATTTTACCTAATACCTTTTTATTTAATGTGTTGTCCAATGGATTATCTTTTGGGTAATCACTTGTGTCATACATATCTATTTTTTTTGCCTTATCTTTATACACATCCTCGGTTTGTATTTCCATTAACAAAGAATCAGTATCGATATATAACACCTCGGATCTATCAAGGTATAGCTTCTTAAGTTCGTTGAAATAAAAGTCATACATTAAGTGTTTTGACAAGTCAGGAATACTCATACCGACATATACTGGTCTGTTGAATATTATATTACTCTTCCTCATATGTAATGCTGCTAAGTCATTATCAAATATCTTACTTCTGTTGAAAGCTGGACTAGCTATTAGTTTCCTAAGTCTTTCTTCCTCATTAGATCTGACCAATTTCGCATCAACACACTTCCTTGGATTCTCTATAGTTTTACCAAATACGGAGTTATTCATGAGCTTATATAGGTTCTTTTCGAAATCACTAGTAGCCCACTTTCCTAAAACTGTGTTCAACTTTACATTGGGTTCAATCCAAGGGCTTTGATCAAACTTTAGAACTCTGTGTAATTTCTTTAGTTTCATGCCTTGTGATAGATATAACTGGAGATTTCTGTAGTTGACTATATATTTTGTCTTATCCATCAAATTTGGTATGAGTTTTTCTACGTTAGCTCACCTAGTCCTTCCCATCAAAGAGTGTTGATATTCTAACATCCAATCTCTATTAACCATTAATCTTTCGGGAGCTTGTGGATAACTGTTATGGTGTAACTCTGTTTGATATTCTAAGTCAACTTCTAGAAAGCAACCTTTATCGGAATCTGTGGGAATATTATTCACATCGATATTGTTTACCCACTCAAAACCCCCCATTGGTAAAGGTTGACTCAAAGCCCATCCGTACAAATTGTTCGCGTCGAGATAAAATATGTATGTAGTAGGTTTACTCAAATCATATCCTTCTACTACACGTCGCTATATAAGTGCAATAATCTCGGACGCGACGTTAAACCCCATTTCACCTCACCTCACCTTCTACTAATTTATTATTGGCCTTAGAATACCTTTTCGCTGTCGTTGATATACCACCTCTTAATCCTTTTTCAACAAACAAGTGTATATCATAATCGGTGAGTAATCTTAGTTCTACACCGGTCTTCTTCAACAATGCATCCCATGAGAGTCCGGGACTGGAATAGTGCCATGCCGGATCCAAGCCACATTGTTTTAAACATGTCTTTCTAAATATCTCGAATATATCAGCGAGTAACATTACATCAGTTTTGAAATACAGATCGTGATAATCGCCTAAATTCTTACAACCTAATTTATCCCAAACCGCCAGAGCGTGTTCATAATCAGCATCGGTTATTTTAGATTCTGTTAAGTTACTATAGAATGATTCAACAAGTGGTAATTTAGTTTTGTCAAATCTAGACCAATCATCCATATATTCATTAGTATACACACCTTCTCTCACCAACAAATGTCGTGTTAAACGATCAGTTTATTGATTTGTTATAGTAAAGTCATCGGGATTGTT